CTATTCTTTTTCAACCAAATCAACCAAAAAGGACACCTATGAATCGTGGGCTGATCTTAAAAGGATCTCCCAACTTCCAAGCCACTTCCATCAACGGCAAGGACATATTCCGCGGATGCTCAAACGCATCCGCGAAATAACTGTCTGTTTTCGGACTTTCCCGCCGGACTTTCTTTTTTTTTTAAAAAAAAAACTAACCTTTAGAAGGTTAAATACGGAAATCCTCACTAAACACTAAGAAGCCAAGCTATGGAAATGGCTGGGACCCAGCAAGCTAACCGATGGAGGTGCAAGGGAAAGAACAACCACACCAACACTGGGTTGCTTTCTGCTCCCCTGCTAAAAGTTGACAACTTTTAGTGGTTTAGTGGAAAACCAATTCATTAGTTGGATCAAAAAGTTAAAGTCCTAAAAGCCAAGCAAAATGCACCAAAGAACACAGAAGAACCCCTCAAACAGTTTGGAACTATTTCCTGGTTGGCTCCAATGAGACGAAGCTGGGTGCATCGTCGTTCAAAGAAACGCCCACGACCCATGTTGGGCGAAGGGGTGCCTCTTTTTGAGACGAAAACCATTTGTGTGCAAATGATTTGCATGATGTGCATGGCCTGACTTCGACTTAGGTGAAAACACAATGTTTCTGACAAGTTGCCGGTTCAGTTGAGTCTGGCCGCCAAAAGTGTCTGTATGGGCTGCACCGCATCGAAAAGCTGTTTCTAATGACCATGTAAACCAATGAACTTGCGACCAGAGGCGACTTCCGAGAGATTCACACTTGAGCCATCCATTTGCGAATGCGTCCGTCCCTAAAGGGACGAAAAAAACAATTGCTTCCAGTAGTGACAGGTTTCGACCTGAAGACGCATGGGGAAAAGTAGTTCAAGGAAACCATATAAGACAAATGTGCCAAACTGGCAAGACAAAAGGCTAAAGGGGTCGATTCATTTGGCCAGTCCAGCGCTTGTTCGGCAGCTGTCAACTGCAGATCAAACCAAAGCTACTCAAACAAGGCTCGATCATCGGGTGATCATGGGTTCATGGGTGGGCTCTTTTTGGGGGACACCCCCAAACAATAATGATGGCTTTCCTTTTGGCTTTCCTTTCACAACCACCAGCCCACAAACCACACATCCACATCCGTCCCCTCCGCAGCAGCTCTTCTCACGCCTGAAAGTAAGTTTCTACTGGCGAATGTCTGCAACGTTGAACCGTGCAGGGTGTTCGCGGGTGTTCAAACCGAAAAGACCAAAGGGTTCCAGTATTTCAACATCTGGCACTTTGAGATCCAGTACTTCAACTGGCACTTTGAGATCTGTGGAACGCCGTTGTCCGCGAAACGGAAACCAACTCATCTGGGAGAAACACCCCATCGGCTCACTGCGGATTCACCGCAGGGTGCCTTCACTACCGTGAGGCATCGGTCTCGGTCGCCCTGGCGACCGGTCAGCTTTTTCGAAGCGGCGGAGGAAGTTGACTCAGTTGTTCAGTGACCCTGGAGAAACAAAAAGGGAACCCTTTTTGGGGGAAAACCACTGTTAGTGGGGCATCGACCCAAAAAAAAGAAGATAAAAACAAACAGGGAAAAGGGTGCCACTGAACAACTGAGTTGAAAAAGGTACCCCGCACACCGCGGTCGCCGCGGTCATCCATAAAACGCCATGGCTGAAGCCCTTGTTTGCCGCGCTTTCTTCTTTCTTTTTTTCAGAGAATCGAATCAAAACCCACGAGATGGAGTTTGTCCCATGACTAGAGCTAGGACCAGTTATGGTGTGTATATTTTATTGTTTGCTTGACTTTGAGTCACTGGTACAATGTAAAATGTATATCCTAAGTCCACCCCAGAGTCCATCCACATTTCCCCAACTGGTTGGGCGTTGCATTCTCGCGATCTCTTTTGGGCCGTCGGATCTGGTGCGTATCGATGTTCTGTAGTCTCCTATCAGTTTTCGGTGGTAACACTGATCCGGCAATATGGGAGTCCCAGGTTATTTCTAAATGGATGGTTCCCCTTTAGCTTCCCTTTCCAACCACCCTGTTCTCTCCTCAAAAGGCCTCCGGAGTACCGGGTTGGAGACCCTCTTCTCCAACTTGCGCTTGCCTGGCAGGAACCGCATTTCAGCGGTTCCGCCCGGCGCTTGCCACGGCATGGCTCCAGATCCCGCGGCGGGAACCCCGCTGCGTCACCCGGGCGTCGCCCGGGGGTGAGACGAATCCGTTCGATGGGGCCGGGCCGAGTTGAATCAACCCGTGGCGTGTTTTGCGCCTGTAAGGGTTCCATTTGAAGGGGGAACCGAGTCACTTTTTTGCCTTGGCTAGTCCGAAGATTCGAGTGGATTCTGAGAACACTGCAGACTGCTGCCAGGGGTGCTCCCGTCTGGCTTTCCAGCGGCAAAGTGCAACCAGAAACGCGCTGATTTCAATGCTCAAGCCGTCCCCCTGCGCTTGACGGCTTTGAGGGGCCAGTCGTATCTGCTGATTGGCTCAAGGACCAGGACAAGAGTGACAAGAGAGTCAACAATCAAACTGATCGCCTGGAAACCTTTCGTTTGCTCGGTTGGTAACACGTTGTTTCATGGTAAGATCGATGTCCCCGGCTCAAAGTGCGATCCGTCCAAACACAAATTCGCCTGCTAATCAATCAACATTCGGGAGATCCGACAATGGGCATCCGCAGCCGTAAGCAACCCTCACCGCCCGAACCTGGGGAAAACCAAAAAGGTTGCTTCGCTTTTTAACAAACTTACGGAACCAGAAGGCCAACCACCCAACAGGGCCTGTCCTAATGTTGCAAAATGGGGATGCAATGCGGAAAAGCGTTCCCAAAAGGATAGGACATACAGAACAGTTGTTTGTTTCTTGCTGGGAAAATGTGGCAGCCCGTCCGGGTGAGCAAAAATTGATCCCAAGCCCTGAATACGACATTTCAATTCCCAAACTAAGCAATACTATACCAATGCAAACAATACTCACCCCACCAATGCTACTCAAATCCTGAGCTAGCACCGCCAACTCAGGCCCCAGGGGAGGAAGCCCAGAAAACGCAACCTCTCTGGGCCAGTACCGAGGAATATCAAACAAATACTGAACCAATTCTAAACAGTACTGGATCAGCTCAAAAAGCAACACTACTGACGCCCAACCCCCAAACACACACATTGTACAACATGGATGACGTTTGGGGTTCTTCCATTTGCTGGAGCCGCCTGGAAAAATATGTCCAGCAGTGGCTGTGATAGCTTCCCTTTAAAACAAAAAAATGAACATAACACACATACATATGAACAAAAAACATATGTATACATATGTGCATATACAATAGAGATATATATATATATATACCTATATAGGTCTATATGTATATATATAAACAGACACATTTACATACATATAGACATTGGATATCTATTCCCTTCAGCAAAAAAGACGCCGTGAACGGCTCATCTCTTCGAGGCCACCGCTTGGAAAGCCGACGGCCGACGCGCGGCTCACCCCAGCTGGCCTGGAGCCCGGGGACTCGGGAACTCGGGCACTCGGCCGAAGCCGAGGGGGGCGACGTTGGCTTTGGGGGGCAAAAATTGAAATGTTTCCCCCCAAAAAGTAAGTGCCACTAAACCACAAGAAGCAAAAAATCTAAAACTTTAGCAGTTGAGTGGATTTGGATTTCAATCACTAAACCACAAGAAGCAAAAAATCTAAAACTTTAGCAGTTGAGTGGATTTGGATTTCAATCACTAAACCACAAGAAGCAAAAAATCTAAAACTTTAGCAGTTGAGTGGATTTGGATTTCAATCACTAAACCACAAGAAGCAAAAAATTGGAAAATCTTAGCAGTTAAGTGGATTTGGATTCCAACCACTAAACCACAATAAGCAAAATTGGAAAAATGTTCCCAACGACAACCATGATATAGGGTTCGATTTTTGGGGTAATGTTTGAGCCACACCCATGTGGGTCCCCCCAAAAATGGCCAAATACAAGGGTCCCCCTTTTTGGGTCTTCACTAGGCGTCCATTTTGGGCTATGTTTGACACCCATGTTTCAATGGGAAACCCGAAAGGGCAACACACCATCTTGGGGGGTTCCCCCTCAAAAAAGACACATGCATTCATTGGGTTGATATGGGTATAGGTCAAAATAAAACCACTAGGGTATGGACATCAGGTTAGCCCTTCATTCACTAGGGCTCCGTTTTCCTATGTTTGACACCTATGTGGGTCGACAAACTCTTGGACACAAGCTTGGTGACATATTACATGATTTGTGGTGTACACCCAGGTGCGGGCCATATAGGCTTTGTCCCAAAGTAGAATTAGCAAACCGGGTCATGTCCAATTGGTCTTCCTGTAGGACACCCTGAAAAGGGTGATGTTGACCCCACATTCTTCAACCCCAGTTTAATACGATGGGGTGTTCCCATCCAAAAGTGATGATTCCCCGCTAGGCCCAGACCCCATTAATAAACATTAAGAGGCAAAGCCCCATTTGGGAACCTTGCGCATACTGGGAAAGGGTTGGCTCGCAATGCCAAGTGCAATACTTTCGGGATGCCCCTTCCATCGCCGCTAGGCACCACTTGCTAAGTGTCGAGTTGGTTGCAAACAGGGGGCAGGTGCACGTCCGACATGGTCAGTATGTTACAGCCCGCCAAGGCTGCAAACATATCGGTGGCGCAAGGAACTCTTGCATGCGCTGCTTCAGTCATAGGCATGATCCCTAGATTAAGGGGGGACGGGGGTGGGTCCGGGACCCAAATTCCATTTGCCCAGCATTCCCGGTGGAAGGGAAACTGGAACCAAACATAGCTCAGTTGCTTTCTGCTCCCCTGCTAAAAGTTGACAACTTCTAGTGGTTTAGTGGAAAACCAATTCATTAGTTGGCAAAAAGTTAAAGTCCTAACAGCCCTTGGCAAAATGCACCAAAGATAGCGTTCCATGGTCACCTCCCACAGTTCCCATGTTCAGGGGGCAGGGATGAGACATGCCCCAAGCTTTTGCATGCTCGCGCACCGCTACGCGTTAAATGGAATGCCAAACAAAACCGGATGAAGCGCTGGACATCGGAGGCCACTTTGCTTCTCGGAAAGAACGCGATCCCACATTCTCCACCGCGCGCTTACGGAGCTCCTTCAGATTCCAATCAATATAGGGTGGTTAAACAAAAACGCACCGGTTTCCAAGTGCATTGAAGGAGGTCCCTCAGGTTCAACTGAAAGGTCGGGTTCACCCTCATGTATTTCCGGGGGTCATGCTGGCCCTGCACCTACTAAAACAAGCAAAAACAACTCACTTCCACTTAGGCACGCCTGATTATCAGCCAAGATCGTGGCGACACACCGCGACGCCTATCGATCCGCAAGCTGGGGGTCCACGCGCGAATCTGTCAAAAGTTGCCTGGCGCCGGAGTCCATCAGTGGCAGCCCCTTTTGGCTTCCGTCAGGGACATAAACAAGTTCAGCTTTTTCGCCAGCAGTCACCTTAGAACTAAAACACATAATCTTCCTTTTCAAGGCCGTTCTGGCAGGCCTTTGGTTGTTGGGTGGGAGGGCAGGTTTTTAAAGGTTGAGATGGAACCCAGCAACGCAGCAAGGGGTCCTGAATTCAACGGTTGATTACGGTGGATTCCATCTTAACTTGCGTGACGGTGGCTGGGCTGTCCTCAGATCCCCCGCTGAAAGTTTAACTTTTAGTTGGCATTGGTTAAATGGAAATCCCCACTAAAATCTAAGCAGCTAAAAGAGCTAAGGCAATGGCTGGGAACCTCAAGGTAACAAACGGAATAGAATTGCGAAACGGGGCCATTCCCGAATAAACATGTCCCCCTCAATGACTCCCTTTCCCCGGAAACGAACCCCAGGAACATCTCCAAAAAAAGTTGCCAAACCTCCGTGTAGTTGCGCGTCTGCGCTAGCGTCTTCCTGGAGTCTGCTTCTTAGATCAAAGCGACAAATGGAGCAGCGAGCAAGCTCCTCGGCAGCGAATCCACGGACTTGAAACTACAAGCGCCATATTCAGCCTTTAGATGTGATTGAAAGGAAACACAAAAGAAAACCGCAGATGTGGCGACTTTAGGACTCAGCCGTACTTCTACCCGGACCCTCAAATTTCCCTTAAAAAATGGCTATCGCCCCCAAATTATGGGTTGACCTCCTAATTTGTTTAAGCGCTGTTCCCTGGTCCAGGCGGAAATTTCCTGGAAGGTAAACTTTTAGTGGGTTAAATACGGAAATCCCCGCTAACACACAAAAAGCGAGAAGCAAAAACAACTATCGGGACGGCTGGGAACCACCAAGTTTGGGAAGGACATCGCATGGGTCCTAATGTTGACCCCATATTAATCAACCCCATGCAGTTTACTAGTATGGGGTGTCCATGGGTATAGTGGGGAATCGTCACTTTTGGAGGGGAACAGTCCCCCTATTCACAAACTGGGGTTGATTAATATGGGGTCCACAAAACTGTGGACAGTTACGAAATCGAAATCCGCAAGAGTCTCGCATCACGAGATGAGTTACCGTGAGAATGACACCAAATTATTTGGATTTATAGGGGAATCGAATCAAAACCCAGGGTTTCTGAACAATTTTCACCCGGTTGCAGTTTGCACTGGCTGTCTTTTTGACGGTACCCCCTTCTTGTGTGGCTTCAAAGGGGAGCGGAAGGAAAAACATCATTTAACTCCTCGGTTGCTTTCTGCTCCCCTGCTAAAAGTTTATTTGTTAGTGGTTTAATGGAAAATCCATTTGTTTGCAAACAGTTAAAGCTCCAACATCCAAGCAAGATGCACAAGTAACCATCATTTTGGGACCCCCCAAAAAAATGACCACCCACTGGTTACCCACTTGCTTACACCCCTTACCCTCCAAACATCTCCCGTGCCTCAGACTGGGACCACCCTGCGCTCCGAAGCCTGCGAGGCTTCGAAACAACAAGCGAAAACGAAATGAACAGCCCAACGGGAATGGGAAAACACACATGGAGATGACAAGACAAACATGGACATCGACAGAAAGGAAAAAAGTACTGGAAGATAATTTCCTGATGTATTCTGATGCCTCAGACTCCGAGAAGGTCCAATGAAAACCGCCTTCCATTGGGACCCCATTGCTGGAGCCTGGCGAACCTGCCCCACACGAGGGGGAAACCTGTGCAGCTGAAATGGCGGTGAGGGCAAGGGCAATTCTTGGGTATGCCTTGCAAGACACCACGGAAAGCATGGCATGGCTCGCACAGGTTTCAGGCCTCTTTGTCTGGCGGGTCCGGCCTGTGCCTGAGCTGACTTCGACTTCCCTCAAGTCGGCACCCCAAAGGGCTTAAGGGCTTAAGGGCTTAAGCCCACTGGAAAAGCACCGATATTTCCAATAGAGACCTTTGCAACAGGGATCCTTACATTATACACCTGAACATTGCAACTTGTCAATGCTGGTTTCCCCTTATTTCGGCGTTGAAAAAGCAACATGTTTCAACTGGTTTCGAAAGGAACTTCTTTTAAGGAGCTCTGTTGCAACCGGGGGACTACAAGAAAACAACAAAAAAGCAGCAAATGGAGGTCAAGGGAAGCCGCCCATGCTATTGGGAAATCCCACAGCCTTTTTGTGGATGAGGGAGAGACCATTCGGAAAGCGACCGCTTTCCAGGCACTGTTCGGGAGGTTATGCAAAGACTACGAAGAGAGAGAGAGAGAGAGAGAGAGAGAGAGAGAGAGAGAGAGAGAGAGAGAGAGAGAGAAAGAAAGAGAGAGAGAGAGAGAGCGAGCGAGGGAGTTGATGACCACCCCTACCAACCCACTCCGTGATCAGACCCCTTCCAGACATGTTTGGACTATGTCTGCAAACCTATCACGAGACCCACTTGCCATGGCCAAGGGTGCGACTACTTGAAACGGGTGGCACACCTTGTGCAACGATTGCGGGGCGAAAACGGGCACCGCTTTGCATGTCGAAGCAACCCGCCCGACCGGCGGCTCTAAGAACCCCTTCTGAAGCCGTGGCCGAGTTCCGCAAACGAAAGCTCGAAGATTGCAGGTCACCGGAGAGCTGGATGGGCAGATCTGCTTGGGTGTTTGATTGGGTCCGAAAACATCATCACTACGCCCTCCTTTCGTAAACATAGACTCAAAAAGAGCCTCTCATCCTGTGTTTCCTTTGGCAAGCGGACGGAAAACCAAAACACCTCGGGATAGTTGTTCTCCTCGGGGCATCTTTCAAGGTGCATCTCGCTCGGCCCTTTTCGCGGCCCCTCGTTTGCGGGGTGCTCGGTGGCCACGGGGTAAAGGGGGGCAACAAGAGCACCTGGCTCGTCTTAGTCTCGGTTGCTTTCTGCACCCCTGCTAAAAGTTTAACTTTTATATAGTCGTTTAATGGAAAACCCATGAGTTGGCAAAAAGTTAAAGTCCTAACATCCAAGCAAAATGCGCCCAAGCTAGTGATCTTGGTTGAATCTGCAGGGGTTTCCCCCCAACATTCAGAACCAGAAGCGGCCAAACAGATTCAGCACCGATTCGTCCTCCAGAGAGCTTCGAATAAGGGTACCAACTCTCTTTTTTCGCTAGTCTACTTGAGTAGGGGCTTGCCCTGCCAACCAAAAACGGGTAAAAGGGTCAAAGGGCACTACTGAGAAACCCAGCGGCACCATACCCCCGTCACCAGCCTGAGGCTTCCCCCCTGCTTTTCCCGTCCAGCGTTTTCTTCGCCGAGCCGCGAGGCTTCCCGGTTCCTGGGCGTGGAAGCACTGACCCCGACACGTGTGTCCATTTTTCTTGGCTGGAATTAGGACCACGGCAAAAAATGTTTATTTTTTCCCTGTTTATGGAAAACAAAGGGGACCCCAAAAAAGGAAAAAGGAAAAAGGGAAACTAATTCTGGGGAAGTTCCTGGCATTCCAGCCAGTGCCACTTTCCTTTCCTCCGGGCATACAGAACATCTACTGAAACAAAACAAATGAACCGCGTTCGACACAGACGTGACACATATACTTGCCTCCCCCAGAAAAACCTCTCTCAGTTTTTCGCCTACGCCACGTAAGGAAGTTGGCAAGCGGGGCCCGTCGGCTCGACTCAAGAGGCACCTTTCAGCGAAAACCACCCAACAAATTGGCCGTTACCCATGAGGTACCCTTCCACCAATTTTGCCATGGCACCCAGGGACCGGGTCCCTCCAAAAAATGAAATCGATCTGTCAGGCACAACTGGGTGATTCTCTGTTCGGCTTCCCTGCAAATCAGCTGACAAACTCACTTCAAGCGGACTGGCCAAACACGCCAGTCACTTGTTGTTCTTTGCCGCTAACATGGTCCTCCCAAGTCGGGAACAAGTCCACGAGCTCAGGGAGTGTACAACCTGGCCTGACATCTCAAGCGCCAGTTAAAAAAAAAAAAAAGAAAAAAAGAAGAAGACACAAAAACAAGACATGTCTTGTAGCCTCAGGTTGGGAGGGGCTCCCATCCTAAAAATCGCCTGCCTCCCATTCCTTTCCAAAGCGCCCCCCCAACCACGGGGCTCGCGCCGTAAAAGCCGCCGCTCCGGAGGCCCCGTGGACCTAAGCTGGCGACTGGCGACTGGCGGGCGGGAGGAGGGGGTCCTGGCGATCCGGCCTCCACTTGCTTAGGCCCTTGAAACTCCCTGCGCCCTGGGGAAGTTTTCATCTTTTACAGACATATAACACAACAAAAAAAAAAACAGGGCTCCCTATACCTGGGCTGCCCAAACCGATCCCCCGCTAAAAGTGAATAACTTTTAGTGGTGAAATACGGAAACTACCACTCAACACTAAAAGGCTAAGGAACAGGATGGCTGGGAGCCACCAAGATACTACATGTTCCCTTAAAACATCCACAAGGGACCCTCACCTTTCATGGGCCAAAAAGGCGATCTTGACAACCACCCAAAAAGGGGAAAGATAGGGTACCCATGTACAATGTGTGATTTGCTTTGGTTTCTACAAACGCCAGCCAGGCGTTCCAAAAGCACCAACACCCGTATGGAAGGGGTGGTTTGTGAGGGTAGCATCAAGTGCATTTTCCCGAAAGTCCACCGGCGAATGGCACAGTAGCATCTGTATCTCTATCTCTGTCTCTCTTTCTCTCCATCGTCTCGAGTGTGACTACCGGAGGTGCACAAAATCGAGATTGAGCAGACAACTACAGGCCACACGCGCGCCAACTTTGCAGAGAACCTTGTCCTTTCGCAAGGCGGGCCTAAAGGCGAAAGGCATACTACACTCGGTTGCCCCAAGGACCCGGAAGGAAAAAGCTACCCTCCCACCAGCTAACATGGGTTTGTGCACAGACCCCTGTAGAAAGACTACTTTCCTCTTGAACTGCAGTGTTAGTTGGTGGGAGAGTAACCTTTTGGCCCCATGACCAAAGATGGACTGAATCAGGTCGGCTTTGGGCAGGTGAGCACTGCTTGGTACATATCGAAAGAAGACCCCAGGCAGAAAGTCTGAAACCAGGTGGCCAGTCACCGCGGAATCTCTTTTTTTCCCCTGGAAGGCTCCACAAAAAGCGACATCTCTTGATTCTGGGCCACATTCACTGAATATCGACATGTCAAATGCATGCCCAGAAAGGTGCACGGTGCGGGGCCCCACTTTAGGTGGAAGGAGTGGAGCCAGAAGGAAGGTCTTGACCCAATCAGCCCACCCTCACCCGCACAAAAGGATGATACCTTTGGACATGTTTTGCTTTGCTCGTATGAGGCGTCGAAATTGAACAGGTCTGTATCAATTGGGCGTTTTCTGAGAATTGAGATGGGGCACCACAAGCACCCAGACCAAAGGCTTCCCAACTTCCCGACGTTGGAGGTGGCATTTTCCCAGCCAAATGACCTTGCAAAAGGGCCGCACCATTCAGGGTTGACCATTTTCCCCAAGCAAAACCGGAGTTGAGGGGTGACACAGAACGGGACACACACATGGTATGACCTTTTGCAGGGACCGCTTGTGGACCCTTCTGGTCGCAAGCCAACATCAGAGCTACTTTTTCTGAGTTCTGCCTCCTCAAATGGGTCGGACGATGCCACTGTTTTTCCCACTTGCGTCAGGGGCAAACTAGGCTGGAATTAGGACCCCAGCAAAAATAGATATCTTTTTTCCTGGTTAGTGGAAAACAAAGGGACCCCAACAAAGCAAAAAACAAAAGGGGAGCTAACGCTGGGGAAGCAAACAGGTCTTTGGGGGTCTCAGCCTTCATATGGGTCTTGGTCTCGGGTCAAAAGACCCAGACCGAGGCCGCCGCCGATCCGCGGCAGCTAAGTCGGCTGGCAGGGGCTTGCCAGAAAGGGGTGAAACCCCTCAACTGGACACTGGGAATGGCCTTCATTGATGGGCGAGGTCCCGCCTTTCACCTGGTCGAAAAATTGCCCCTTACCGGGCCAATCATATACTTCCCTGTACGTGCATACCGGGCCAATCATATACTTCCCTGTACGTGCAGCGTGTCTGCCAACCTCTTTTAGCAATATGCGCGGCCTCTACTCAACAACTGAAAGCAAATGTAGGACACGCTGCAAAATCTTTCTGACCCTGCTCCATGTTTAGTCTCATAGGATCTACGCAAGTTTTGGAGAAAGCCCCAGAAAGGAACCGAGCCTGAAGATGAAACCGAAGTGGACATCACTAAGGATTGATCAGGAAGGGCTGCACCGGCAACATTAGAAACTAGTTATATGTTGAGTTCACAAAGGTCTCGGTGTCCCAAAACAGTCCTGCTACGAAAGGTATGCCTTCCCCAAAACCACATCGGATTCATTGGTACCAAGATACATGACTTCCCGGGGGCTGGAGTCGCCAACTAGCTCCATTAGATTCACCTGGGAAGACGGAACGCTCTGAGATCCCAGAAGCCAACATTCCACTTCCAAGCCCAAATCCACCACTCACTTGCCCAATGGGACCCCCGTCATAGATCAGATCGTATCAGATCTAGTCGGAATGAAGGGGGCCAGGTCGAAAGGTTAGCCCCGCAGATTTGGGGGCGTGGTTCCACGATCATTCGGGGGGCGGGGAGCTCAGTCAGTCCCATCTCCCCAATTGGGCAAGGTGCGGGAAAGAACTTCGGGCGCTCAAAATGGGTTGGTTTGCAACACTTGGTTGGTCTCTTATTGGCTTTCCCCGTTTTGAGGCACGGACAGCTGTATTCATCCGGGGTCAAGAAATCACCGGCTTCCTTTCCAAGCTTCGACCTTCCCTCTGACTTGCCCCAAAGGGGACCCAGAAATAAAAGCCGATCTCCTTTTGGGCTGCCATGACTCAAAATGGGATCCCAAAATCTGGAAAACCCAAAGTTCTCATAATTCGGGTCCATTCGCTTTGGTTGCAAGCCACCGCGTCTTCGAACGCCGAGTCCGACCCGAGTCCGACCCGAGTCCGACCCGAAATTTGGGGCTTGTTCTGGGTCCGAGTCCCGCCCGCCCATCCGCGGCTGCCAAAAGCCAAGCCGTTGGCCTCCCGGCCCCGGCCTTCCAAGTCCAAGTTCGCCGGTCGCACCTCCTCCTGCTCCTCCTCCTGAAATGGCTACAAACGAAGCGGAAGCGGATACGGAGGGGGCGGGGGGGTTTTGGGGGGGGTTTTGGGGATTCCAACTTGGGCATCGCCAATTCCCATGTCAGACTTAGGTGCATCAAACGGAATCCTCCTGCATCCAACTGGTTCCTGTATCCCTGCAATTGTTGGCTGTGGCGAATTCAAAAAACCGGAATTTTCCGAACTGGGGTGCCCGATCAGTAAGTGGACACATGGGTTGCCCAAAACCCGCGGTGTGCCCCTCCGATTATTTGATTTCACTTGCCACCGCCAGTTCATCTCTACTCTTGGTATGGGCTTGCAAAAAACTGACTGCTTTTTGGCAGACCCCCAGTAAACATGAACAAAACAAAACAAAAACAAAAACAAACAAAAGAACCAAAACAAATAACAAAACAACTAAAAACAAACGCCAAGAACAGCGAAGGGCTGGTTTCCCCGCTCAGGTTTCGCCGGGCCCTGTGGCCACGTAAAATCCTTGCATCGGAGCCCCAAGAAGCGGCGAAAAAGCAGCGCCCTTCTGGCCTCCCTTCAAAACCAACAAGGAGGTTGCCTTAAAACAAAGACACGGGTCGAAATTGGTGGAACCACCTTCTTGGTGGGTGTCCTTTTGGCCAGCAACCATCTTGTTGGGACAGGTTGGACGGTTTCATCGGGGAAAAAGCTGAGGGACTTCTTCAGAATGGCACCTGCTCTCATTGTGGCGGGCGGCGAGCGTGTTTTTTGAGAAAGGCACGGCCCCATTCGCCGCAATCGACAAACTGAGATATCAAGACGTCCCTGACAGGAGCGTTTTGGGGGGAAGGGGGGCATTTTGGGGGATCATTTCAGACCTGCGCATGTTTGGTAGTGTGCTTGGCCTCGATCAAAACTGACTGAATTCAGGTGCGGTGTGACGAATTCAAGCCTGCTACTCTGCATGACCAGCATGATCTGCATCATGCGTTGTTCTGGTTGTGCCAAAGTGACAGTCCCCTCAAGCATCATTTCAGATAAGGCGACCTGTTTTGGCCAGGTTGTGTGTTGCAATGAAAAGCACTGGAAGGGATATTTCTGCCTGGCAGAACGGGGGCTTGTCTGGATACCGTGCTCCAAGACCTGAGCAAAAGGCCTAACCGTTTTGCAGGTTTATGAGTGAATCTCTGCCAAGTTAGTGGCTAGCCACTTGGGTTGTACCCCGTTAACCCCACTGAAAGGAGGGTACTCGCTTACAGTGAGTTGCACCTAGGGAAGCAACTGCTTAACTGTTTAAACTTAAATCTGGCAACGAACGGTCGTTTGGATCCGGTGTGGCGTCCCATTTGTCCACAAGAACCAGGGTTTCAGATCCAAATCCAAACCACCAATTAAGGGACCCCTGAATTCTGAGAACCCCCCTTGGGCTAGAAACCCAAAGGCTCATTGTATGCAATATTTACCCAATTTCCCTCTACAAGAATAGGGGGTTCAATCTGCAAGCCACCAAACTCTAAACCACCAATCAAGTCTTGGTCGCTCTGCAAAACGTTGGCCACTTCTTCTGGGTTTCATTTGGAAAGCCCCTTGATGTTTGCCCAACAAGCTTTATAAAGTCTAAAGACCCGATACCCACTAGCAATTATCAGCTGCCTTGTTTGCTGCAACGACCCCCCTGCAACAAATTGACCACTTTTTGGGGGTTTAGTGGAAAACCCCTTGATTTCAAACAAAAAGTTGTGTATGCAAGCTAACCAAACGGCACCACACACAAGCACGCGATAACTCTTTTATCCGAGCAGTGTGTTGGTGCCAGGGACTCATCTTCCCCTGTCAGATGACAAAGGCTGGGTGGGCCCCATGGGCCACCCAACTCACAATCTCAAAAACTGAAGAACGGGTGTGCAGACTGATAGCGCCCGCCCCTGAGCCGGGGCCCGTGGCACCCAGGCCACAGGGGGGTCTGCCACCAGGGGAAGTGAGTCACCCACCGGCTCCGGTCACGGGAGCATGGGTGGGCCCACGCTAAGATCAAATGCATCTCCATTCAGGAGACGCGGGAGAAAAACGAACTCCTCGCAGAGTTCCTGCTTGGGGACCCTTTGCAAAGGGTCGAACCCAGAGAAATCTGGGTGCGTCAGCTCATCAGCCCATTGATTGAATTCACGGGGCACGTGGTTGGCCGCCAGCGAGCAGCCATGGGTGTGGAGCAGGAAGACCAGCTCCATCAGGATCGCCGCCGTGTAGGGCTTCTTGGATCCAAGGTTGAGCATCGCCATGACGTTGCCCTGATTGTCACTGCCCACCGGGAGTCGGACCCGGGAGGACAGAGGGCCTTGGTGCGTGAGGATCATGTTACAGAGGAAGAGCGTGCCCAGCATCTCCAGAGCCGCAATCCTCCGCTTGGGATCCCCATTCTTGAAAGCCCAAGGGTACTCCTCCACGTGGATCTGCTCGTGGAACCAGTACACCTCCTTCTTTTCCGGCTCCACTTTGTTGGAGCACCAACCTCCCACAAATGCCAGTCCTTCGTCCGAGGCGCTAGCATCGCTGCAACCCCACCAAGAGGACTTCGGCAAGTAAGGGGAGTACTGGACGAAAGGCGTGTTGAAGAGGAACCGCAGCATGAACGCCAGCATCCTGACCACCTTGGGGGGTTTCCCCACCGTGGTGGTGGCCATCTTCCAGGCCCAAAGTGGCTGGAGCATCGACTTCGCCAGCGGACATGCAGCCGTCGCCCATTGGATGCGACCCAGGGCCTTCTCGATGTCCTTTGAGTGCATCGCCTGCCCTTCCACCATGGTCTGCAAAACCTCCATAACCAGGATGTGTTTGTTGGCTGCCATGAGAACCTGCGGGATGTTCGGGTGGACCACGAAACCCAGCCACGTGTTAACCTCCGCCAAATGCGTCTTCTTCCAGCTAAGCGGGGTGCCCAAGGCCAGGAGTGTTGCCAGCAGCGCCACCGCCAAGTTTACTGCCCCCTCGCTTCGAAGCAGCCACAGGAAGTCATCGACAAAGACGAAGTTCCAATCCACTTGAGGGAAAAGTGCGTAGAGGACCCTGAGTAGAAGGGCTGCCAGGCGTCCCCAGTAGGATTGGGCACTGGCCATGCCATATGTGCCTACCTTGTTCACCCACCATTCTTCCCCCAGTGAGGCCACCTGGAACCGCCAGTCCTTCCTGAGGACCTTCACTCTCCGGTGGGCCTTGGTGACGTCCGCCTTGAGCAGCACCCACCTGGTGCCCGGCTCCGGCCATAGCCAGCCCCCAGGTGGAGGTTTGACGACCCCCCTCTCGGGGCCAGGGGCACCCTGAGAGGGGGGTCCCTCCGCAGCTGCCGCATGTAGCCAATGAAGAGCTTGGACCCCATCCAGCACCGTCGGAGCCGTCGTCCTTTCCACCGTCTGGTTCCTGATGGTGTCATTGGCCCCTCCCACCGAGCCATCGTAGATCGTGCGGATCTTGTCCCCCTCGTCGATGCCCGCTAGGGGGCCGGGACAAAGGTCCTCGATTTCGCAGCCACAGCGCGATGCTGCCTCCACCTTACTGAAGGGGCCCTCCACCATGCCCATGGGGACCTTCTCCAGAAATGTGCCCCGGATGAGCTCGCTGAAGTGATTTGCTGAGGGGTAGTTACCCCTGCCCGTTGGGTGAGGGAGTTCCTGGAACTCCGGCTTTCAGCTCCTTCTTGAGTGGCCAGATGCCCGGCGAGGTCAGGGGTGGGTCCGTGACCCCCAGTTTGCTCCAGATCTCGGGGAAACTGGTGGTCGGGGTCCTGAATGTTCAGCGCCACGCTGTGCAAGATGTCCAGGAAGAAGGGTTGGCCGTCAGCTGGTCGGCCTGCCCCCGGCGCCAGAATCTCTCTGATATTTTTTTAGCAGGTCCTCCGGGAAGGGATGTGACCCATCCCCCAACGAGAGCGACTCCTGGAGCTTGTCCCCCCATGGCGAAGTGAGGACACAGATCTTGGCCCCCATCGCTGCTGCTTTGGACAGTGGCCGGGTCAACCGTCCCAATGAGGGCTTTCCTCCTCCGTCCCTTAGGGGGCGCTGTTTGAAGGCCATCTGGAGGTACATGACCTTGTCGGAGAGATTGGGGTCGTGCGTGATCGGCAGGATGGTGGGCCGATCCGAGATCTCCATGCCATGGTGTGCCCATGGCTCAGGGGAAAGAGTTCCCCCCCCCAGTTCGTCCGTCTCGCCAGTCCTCTGTGTCGGTGTCCGGACCTCCGGATTGTCCGAGGCCGAGACCGGAAGTGAACCCTCCGGGACTGGCGCTTGTTGTCCCCCGGCGTGCTGGGAGAAGGTTCCCTCTGCCGCCTCGGGGGGGTCGTTGGGTTCGCCTGGGGCGCCGTGCCCCCCGGCCTCAGCGCCTCCAGGACGGGTCCCGCTCTGCAAAGGATGGCCGCTGCGAGACCCTGCATCATCTGCTCCGGGTACCGGAGTTGAGCTTTTCCCCCCTAGGAGTGAGCCCCGTGGTTGCAACGCAGATCATGCCAATGGTGAAGGGGAAGGTCCGTTGACAATGTCGTGGACTTCACAACCACCTGGCCCAGGCGGCACTCGTCAAACTTGATGAGGGAGTGGTGGAGTGCGCTCGCCCATTGAATGTAGGCCCGTGTGACCCAGATCGATGAGCACCTCGCTGCGCTCGGGCTCTTGCTGCACTCCATCGGGTGCTCCAAGAAGGAGGAGCCCACCTGCGGGACCGTTAGCTGACCTAGCCCCTTGTAGGCCAGCGAGGTCAGGTACATCTGACGGAGCATGAGCACGCTGTCATTGTCCGTGTCCTCCATAACCCGGGGCTCCAGGTCCTCTAAGCCCCACAGGGTCTGCTCTGCTCTGCCCCTCACCGGCGGCGGGCCCCCCGGTTTGGGGAACCATCTGAGGATGCTCCACGTCCTGCAGTTGGGGCCGCCCCCCACCAAGGCGACCTTGCCCGCCATGGCCATGGAGCACATCGTAGAGTACGGCTCCTCGCCCAGCATGTCCTGTCCAAGGTCTCCACCCTTCCGCCTGATGTCC